CATGAGTGGATATACCGCTGAAACAAAGTCGAATATAAGATGGGAGTCATTCGCGGCTAACGATAAACAGTGCATGCAATTCAACTTTATTCTATTTACGAAAATAGCTATGAATTATCATAGATCATAATAAATTAAACATAGCAGAATGTGTGCACGATATAAATTTGTTGAATGTATAAAATCGCATTCTCAGCTCGGCTGCTTTTTCGTTTGTTTTTCAATTTGTACTTTGTAGATACACAAAGCTTTCGATCCGTGAGGGCTACAGAGTATAAATTATATTTTTTTCACCATGCAAACGTACAAAGAACTTATTCGTTTTTTAAATTATGTTTCTTTATGATTGCCGTTCGCGTTCCCACTTCCGTTCCTAATTCCGTTCCCACTTCCGTTCCCATTCCCATTCCCCGATTCCTCGTTCCTTGTTTTAAAGATAGCCGTTGCGGCTATACATACGGTAGCTATATAGGTCTTAGCCCGCGTGCAGGCCCAAGGGAACTGATAGTGGGCCTGCAAGCAAGGCCCGGTATTTTGTACTTTCCGCGTTCGCCCACGAACGCAGCATTCTGATTGGCTGTTTGCTGTTGGATTCTATAATTAGGTCAGTGATTCATCACAAAGGCTCTCGATAAGCTCAAAATTCGAAAATTGATCACTTTTTTCGATTATAAATGGAACAAGAACAGACTGTTTATTGTTTACTTGAAGGAAGAGATGTTTTTGCCGTTATGCCAATGGGGATTGCTTGTCGTGAGGTGTTGGAATAGCAACATTACGACTGGGGTAAACTATAGTGACCTTTACTTGAGTTTCATTAATTTCAAACAGACTTGATACGTTATATGTTCCTCAAGAAAATTATCTTTTGGTTGATGTTGAGATCCAGTTGCCTATTCGAAACACTTTGCGATTTACAAGGCTTCGCTGAGAGAGCGAAACAGAAGACGGTATTAAATTGCCCTTTGAAACGAAACGATCTGGACTCTGAACGCTCTCTTCCTTTGTAGAGTTCTTTACCAAATGAAATAACTGAAATAAATTTCGTACTTTCCGCCGCCAACAAGAATTGCACACACGATCTGATAAGCGAGGCAATTTATTTATAACAATGCCAATGGCGACAGCGAAGCACACATTATAAATGCTAATGTGGTCGCACGACTTCCCTCACGATTTGAAGTTTGAGACTGTTTTTTTGTTCAGAAATTCGTCCTAATTTGCCTGTTCCGATTTTAGTTGAAAATAAGCAGTTGCAAATTTGGCAATTACTGGCTGTGTTGCTTTAAAGAGAGTTAAAACGCTGCCATTTACACATTGTTTATGTTCTGAATAAGCAGAGAAAACCCCGCAACATTTTAATGCGAGTTTGTTTGTTAATATTTGGGTGCTGTCATTGGTTCTTTTTTGACAATTGACGCACGAATGGGGCGTGTTATGAAAAGGGGCGTTTTACAAAATACCGGGCCTTGCTTGCAGGCCCACTATCAGTTCCCTTGGGCCTGCACGCGGGCTATATAGGTCTGTATTATCATAGTTATAATTCAACAAGCCTTATTTCTGCGTGAATTTACTGACTAAAACTGGCCAGCCAAATAGAATGTATAGCTATATCAGACACCGCATACAGTACACGAAATCTTTTAGTTTTAAAATCAGTTTGCAAACGCCAAAGCTAGCGCAAATTTGTGTTTATACTAGGAGTTACTATCGCAAGGAAAGTGCTGCCTATTTTGCCACATGAACTGAATGCAAAACCACTCCAAAGGGGAGCTTACTTTTGACCCAATGAACTTATTCTTAAATTGCGTGCACGGAACATGAGTAAATAACCAACATGAAAAAGTTGCCATTGGGTCAAAAGTGGATAAACGGCATACCCATTAGCTGACAATGCACCCCACTTTAGTATTAACTCTGTCTAACGCCAGACAAATTTACACTCTGTAACGCCAGACGATTTTACTTGTCAGTTGTAGAGTACTGTCAGTATCTGCTAATGTCTCTTATTAACCGCCATTGGCTGGCAATGCGCCGTACTTTAATAGTTACTGCCTATCCACTACCTGTAGGAAGCAATTTTGTATTGGGGGAGCTGATTAGTCAGGGGCGATTATTAGGTAATTATATTTCTCTCAAACTTCACCGATTATCGCTAGTTTACAAGTTGTTTTTTTTGTTTGTTTTTTTCGGGGGGGGGCGGGGCTGAAGACCCCAGACCCCCGGTTGCTACGGCCCTGCTATCAACGCCAGACAATTTTACTCGTCAGTGCCAGTAAACGACTTAATTTCTCGTCACCCCAATTTAAATTTTTACGATTTTTGTTGTTTCTAATTGCAGATTTTAACTTTAAAATATAGATTTTAATTCTGAAAATCAAGATTAAGATATCACAATTTATATTTAAAAAATCTAAATTTACGAAAACATTACTGAAATGTTTTATGTTTGATCAGTAATACCCCCCGCCCCAATCTTGATCCATCCCGTCACTGGGCCTGGGCCTCATCAGACGTTGCTCATTCGTCGTCCTTTTCAAGACCCCAGCACGTCGCTGGAGCCAATATGAGTAAAATACTCCTTGTATTGAAGCGCTTTCGTGTAGGAAGTTTCGTTTGAATAAGGCGAGTAGAAATATTTATTTTGAATTTTTCAAAATATAGGGTTTTTACTCGCACGCGCGCGCCACGTGTATGCTTGCGTGTATGCGTATATAGCCCGATGCACATGCAAACCATGCCACTGGGAGTACTTTGACCTGTAGAATCGATTTCCGGTTTTTCCAAACCCCTAGGATGTAAACAGCTGTTTTGATGTAGGAACGTTTCACGGGCCGCGCTAAAAATATAAATATTCTGTAAATACCGAAATAAAAGAAAATCTGAAGACACAAGCTTGAAAATAACACCGTGAATAGTGTTTTGGATTCTGGTTCGAATGAGACTATAACGAAAAAGATATGTCCAAAGGGGCCGAAGTTATGTTCGGCGAAATGTATGGCTAGTTTACATTGTTCGTTTATATATAATGAAATATGATACCATACCTTACTTGTTAAAATTCGCGTCGTACTATTATTGTATTAATATTAGGCAAATGAGAACCATGCAATAAGTGTTTGAGTTCTTGTTATGTTAAACGCACGCTTTATCTTTACTACCACAACGTTTTTCGCGCGGATTATATTTCGCGCAGTGCTAAAATTTGCTCACCCAGCGCTGCGCGAATTCTAGTACTGCGCGAATTTTAATACTGTAAGACATATTGTGCCATTGTGGACATTTGAATAATGTCAAAATAAAATTATAATGACAGTACATTACTCGACTTTGAACAAACAATAGTTTATAAATTCTTAAACTCTTTCATATACATACTGTAGTAGCCAGCGATTTGTAGTAGGTGCCATAAGTAGGTAGCTAGTAGCATGAACCCAGGCTGTTACCCTCGATATTCGGAACTTTATTAAACCGGTGTCACAGGAGATTCGCCCCCCCAGGAGATTCGCCCCCCTCTCAAAAGGGGGGCGATATTCCTAGGATATTCGCCCCCCCGGGGCGAATCTCCTAGGAATATCGCCCCCCTGGGGGGCGAATCTCCTAGGACTATCGCCCCCCTTTAGGAATTTCGCCCCCCCCATATAATTTTTGAATTTTTGATCTAAAAACCAAACGATTGCAAGTTGAAAAGATTTATTGTGTGATTTATTTATTTATTACAAGGAGACAAAATCACATACACATTTTAGGCTTCTTAGCAGCTGGTGGTGTGCGCAGTCTGCATAACCGAGTAATTTGAGGTACTTAGACTAGTGTCATATTCTACACATCTAAAGTGGAACCTTCACAGAGATCGCATAAAATCATGTTGTCGTATTCTTCTGGCAGTTTACATTCACATAACATATTATAAAAACAATCGCTTGCAAATTTTATCAATACGAGTGTTAACAATAGCCGCCACAGTAATCACTTGCTAACAATAAACTATAGGATTAGTAAAAAATCCATGGAATTTGTTGGGAAGCGTATTGACTATTGTCCGTTGAATCGTCAACTTTCTGTGTCAGTGATGTAATCTTGATTCTTCACTTCCGCAAAGAAAATTGCATTGTATAATATGTGGTGTGGTTTATTGAAATAATTTCATGATACTTTGATTTTATTAGTGCATGCCTTAAACATTTGAGAATGTAACTCTGCAAAACTAAAAGCTTTCTTGTCTTTTTTGCTTCTTTGAAACGTATATTATTGGATTATTGCCTATTGCCAAGTTCTACACTTCGCTTCTGAGTTTACAAACTATATTGAAATAATGCAAGTAAAAAATAGTGACAAACCATACATTTTCCGATAACGACAAAACGTGGATGCAAAACAATACCAATAATTACAATAACCACCACGGTGATTAATTTTTAACAATGAGTTTAAGGATTAACACTGAAAAAAATGCAAAATATGCATGGTGTGCTGTGAAGCGTCATAAGTCCTATTGAGTATTCATCTACTGTAACTGTGTAAAGCCCTTTCGATACATGTAATTGTAAATTTGTATTCTTACATGCAGGGCTTGAAATAACGTTCCCAAAGTTCCCGATCATGGTGATCGGCAGTCGCGACTTTCCCTGCTTTTTTCAGGTTGGAAACCGAAACCCTGCTTTTCCGCCGAGCGGCCGATCATAAGCAATTCCTTGCCGATCATTGATCGGTGATCGGTTATTTCAAGCTCTGTCTTAAAGTGCTTATATCACTCATGGGATCTTTACGGATTTGGAAAGAGCACAAAAAGTTAGTTAATAGGTTCTTCAACCTTTTTTGATTTAGTTCAATATGTTCTGAGATATGGGGCGCCAAACATGGCTTTTTTGACCTTTTTTGAAAAAAAGTCCGTCGTGCTTGGGGGACTGGGACTCAGGAACCCAATTTGCAAGCACGCCGTCTTTCCTAATAAATATATACATTCTTGTCTGTTGTATGCTTTGCTTTTTTTTGAAATAATGCCGGAACGGTGCGTTGTCTACGGCTGTAACAACACAGCTAGTACGACAAAAGGTATATCTTTATATCGTATACCTTATTGTGATGATACAAGACATATAGCGAAAAGCAGACGAAAGAAATGGGTGAGCTTCATTCAGCGGAAACGGGACAAGTGGCAGCCAAGTGTAAGCTCAGTTGTGTGCTCACAACACTTCACGGAAGACTGTTTTGAGTACGGTTCTGACACTGTAGAAAAGTATAAGTTCCCAAAGCTTAAGCATGATGAAATTGGCATCACCGCCGTGCCTTCTCTGCTTCCAAAAGCGACAACTTTGGAGAGTGAACGTAGTTTGCGCATGGAGCGTAGAGGGAAGGTATGTGACATGTGTTGCATCATATTTGACGAACTATTGTCGTATGTATTCTATATTCTTTCGTGTTTCAAACATCCAGATTTTAAATTATTTTACTTGAGTGTATAAGTGATAGGAGGGCTACGTTAATTTTATAGATAACGTTTGAAGAAGGAGTGCACACAACAACCGAGGACTCGCAGCCTTCATCGTCAACAAACGTGAGTATATCTTGGACTTTGAAACGTGGGTATTATGAAGTTAGATAATAGATTGACGAAGGGCCTTTCTGCTTATTTTTTAAGGTAGTAATATAACCACTCAGCACAGCATTAGATAATAGATTGGCACATTTATAAATAAGTGGTCTACATTTATTTATAGATAGCATTTATGGAAGAACGACCTTCAAATATTGAGGAATCACAACCTTCAACCTCAAAAAATATCGTAAGTATTTTGAGCTGTAACACTAGTCACACAGACCACACCACAGTAATAATATTATTTAAATATATTATTTTATGCAATGATGTGTAATGAAACCTAATATATGGTGAATATGCAAATTAGTCACAACCCAAATTTTGTTATTTCAATAGCGTGGTGCATGTAGCAATTGTGATGCCCTGTTGAAGAGAAATAGGCAGCTCAAGACCAATTGGCTCTCTGCAAAACACAAGCTTGATGCGTACAGAAAGGAAATGGAAAGCCATTCAGGTACTGTCGATAATTTCTGTTTCAGACAAATACAAATATCTAACTGCTTACCTAGTATAAGTTAATATAATGTTTTCTATGATCATCATGAAATGCAGGAAACGAAGACATTCCTCCTATTAAGAAAATGAGAGCACATGATTTCTCAAGTCCTACAGTGACAAGTGATGATGAAGATGTTTATAGTTCAGACGTTGGACTGCCTGCTGCAGATGATGTGTATGAGGAAGAAACTGAGGAATCAACTGAAACAGAGGCAGAGGACGAGACAATCCCACAACATAAAAAGTAAGTGCTCAACTATAATTTGGCATGTAACAATATAATTAATATACAACCAATTTAATACATGTAAGTCTAGAGTAGAAACATACAAAAAAAGATTGACCAAAAACAGTACATACATGTATGTGCAGACAGATTAGTCACAAACTGTACTAACATGAAATGTAAGTGAGGTAATGAAGCTGCAAGCATTTACTAAAACAATTCAAATATGTTGTTTTTTAGGATATTCTTGGATGATTCAAATTTGAGAAGGGAACCAAAGTTTATTGTGTTCTTCACACAGTTACTGGCACTTTTCAAATTATGTCCTTCATGCAAATTCGACCATCCACTTGTGGAAGTGCAAGAGAATGGTACAATGGCTGAAGTAACCACCACCTGTGCTAGTGTGTGGCAAGACAACCAAGTGGTTTAGTCAGCCATATATAACAGGCACAATGATTCCAGCTGGCAATTTCCTTCTGTCATTTGCAATACTTGTTGCTGGTACATCAGCCACCAAAACCTTGAGAGTATTCAAGCATATGGGATTGATGTGTATTTCACTCTCAACTTTCTTCAAGCATCAACGTGTAAGTGTGGTGATAAATATTCAGTAATAATTTACAAATTCAGATAGTGGGCAATATTTGGTTATGGTACCTAAACATATAATATGTTTGTAGGAAAAGTTATTCCCTGGAATCTACCTTCATTGGAAAAAATACCAGGAGGGATTAATCACCAAAATGAAGAGCCATAGTGACCTGATGATAGCTGGTGACGGAAGGCATGACAGTATGGGTCATAGTGCTAAGTACTGTGCCTATACTGTCTTCTGTTGCACAGTACCATTCATCATTCATTTTACAATGGTGCAGGTATGTTAGAAAGCACAAATTGTATCAGTGACAGATTTTCATATTTTTGTTTGAGGGGTAGGGTGGATAAATATGGGGGGGGGGTGTGCTGCTGCGGGGATGCAAAACTTTTGGGGTGGTGTTAAATGCCTCTGGGGGCACACCCCCCCCAGAAAATCCATGCCTGAATTGTATACACCAGAATGATATAAAATCACGTTGCACATTTACTGGTTTTTTTTTAATTTTAGAGAAATGAAGTAGGTAGCAGTCCTGCGATGGAGTACCATGGCTTTGTAAGGTGCATGGAATATCTTCTGGGCACTGGACTACTTATAAAGACTTTCGTTTCTGATCGGCATTCAGGAATTGCAAAGCACATGAGAGAAAAGCTGACCACAATCAAGCATTATTTTGACATTTGGCATTTAAAGAAGAGTATGTTATCAGAATAAGTTATATTTACTGACAATTGGTTTGCTTTGCAGTATCCTACATTATATAGTTATGTTATCATCTAGATTGTAATTGCTGAAGCCATATATGATGTGTGTATGTATTTGACGGGGTTGTTATATTAGGAGGGGTAGATTATTAAATCTAATTAGTTTTTATTTTCAATTTTCTATTTAAGAGGTCACAAAAGTATTAACAAAGATTTCAAAGATCAGTGGAAATGAAATACTAAACGAATGGATTAAACCATGTGCCAACCATTTATTTTGGAGTGCAAGGACCACCCAGAGTGGGAATGGGGAAGTTATTTGGGCAAAATTTTCATCCTTTTTTAGCCATGTGGTCAATACACACAAAAATTTGGAAAATCCTGTATTCGACAAGTGTGCACATTCAGATGAAATTCAACCACGCAAGTGGCTAGACAAAGGCATCGCCAGAAATTTGAGACATGCGCCGCAGGTCGCCACCGGCAGCGGTAATTGACGCGCGGAAAACTTCGAGTAATCGTTATTTAAAGTGAATGGTCAAGATGGCCGCCAGCAGTAAGAGAGAAAGCCGTAGAAAATGCAAAATCGATGTCGACTACGTGCAGATGAACTCTTTATCATCTGTTGTATTGTACAATAGTAAGCCGAAAAGGCGAGATTCGAAATTTTATGCTGCCGAAAGAGTTATCACGCGAAGAAAAAAGCCGTATGTAAGTATCAAAACTGCTTTTAGTCAAATTTATTCCCAATTCGAGGTTATGCATTGCGAAGTTTTCTTTTTTGAGGGCGATGAATATCTTATAAAATGGCAAGGATGGCCATACCACAGCTGTTCCTGGGAGCCATCTGAAAATTTGAGCATTGCTCTTTTGAGGTACGGACAGTCCTGGGTTTAATAACCATATAACCAAATACTTTATTGCAAATATAATTTTATCAAGTAAATACCATATAAGCGGCAGCGACATATAACATTATGACAAAACTGCAAGCAATAATAAGACCTCTTCATTGACAGGAGCTATGAACAACCACTCAAACCCGATGGGCCAAAATTTGAACAAGCATGTCGAGATTTTATGAATGTTGTCCAGACAAGTCTCAAGTCAAAATCTGTTAGCCCAGTGTATGTGAACATGCCATTAGATGTCTGGAGGTACATCACATTAAACAAGGGCAAAAAATCTGACCATAAGGGCCACATGTTGTATGAAAAAGAACATTTTGACCGTTTCAAAGGCTTGCCACATGATTGGTATTATGTTCTCAACCAGCATGGTGAAGGCATATGCGTTGATTTCCCTATCAAGGCAAAGCCGATTGTTTCTTGGAGTCCCTCTAGGTTCACAATTGTAAATGGAGAACTAAAGAAGGCACCAAAATATCCTATAGAAAAAATTGTATTATCGATTGTAAAACGATTTTGCAACATGGATAGTGTATAGTGTTAATAGTATATACACATTATTTTGTAAATAAATAAAACTGACAATAGGTTGCATTTTTAATACAGAACGTTCAAATTATATTTAACATATTTGTTTCCAGTTCTGGAAAACTAGGCTTGTACATAATACACATAACTATGTATTATTCATATACAATAACTGTACTTTTCTTGCCAGGTTTGTCCAAAGTTGTGTTTGAAAACACTGATTAAATTAGCGTGAACAATGTAATTTTAAACAGTTCCAAAACATAAATGTACACATACATATTTCAAGTACATGTATTTGTTCTAAATAACATGAACAGGATTTTATAATGATCACTGCATAGCTATACGGTACATATCTAGAAGTCGGTCGATATTTCGTGCTGCAGTTTTGATGCCCATATCTTTTAGGCGCTTTCGAAGTTCGTTAGCAGTAAGTGTGGACATATCTTCTCCGTCCACCTCTGCTTCGCTAGGCTGTACTTGGTCACGTAATCTTGGCCGCTTGCTCCGACTTTCCTTAATTCCCGTAGACCAGTATTCATCTGCCTTTTTTTTATATGGCCTTGGTGTTCTCTGCAGGTGGCTTAAATTTTTTAGCCTTTCTTCAGCAAGCAAAACGTCCTTCGCAGCATCCCATTTGTTGGATTTTTCTAAATGAATTCTCCTGCAATTGTCATTCAGTTTTTCAACACCTAAAGTTTGTATAAACACCAATCAATCAATCTACATCATGTAGTAAAAATTTTACATTTGTGGCAAGTGTTTGAGTAATGTCTGGTAATGTCTATAATACATGTACTGTATCTACACTGTATATAAAACAAATTCATTTACAGCACCTTGCCCTGAAAAGTTTCGTATTCCCTTGTGCAACTTCATAAACTGAGGCACATGATAGACCATTGCGTGAATATAGGGTGTGATGCATTGTTTTCCATACCCCTCCAGCTGTCCACCAAGTGATAAAAATAATGTTACCCAGGCTGTAGCCTAATTGTTAATGGCAAAAAAAAGAAATACAACTAGAGTCACTGGCATTGATTGGAGTGAAATATTTATACTGAAAAAATTGGATGTGTAGGGCAGGTGCACATTGCTGGTTACCATAGGCAGATTTTCTGGAGTGGTGCAGGGGGTTGGACATCCCCCAAAAATTTTTGCAGCCCTCCTAAATTGCTTGCACCACACTAAAAATATTTTGCACCCCCCCCCCACCTCCCAAAAAATTTGCAAACTGGCCCACCCCCTTATAAAAGCAACCCCATGAGTGATGACCCAAGCCTGAAATATTTTCTTGTTATTTTGCTAAAACTGCATGCCTTTTTTCTATAATTTTGTACCTTTGTAAAATATAAATTTACTTCTGATTCTGATATGTCTTCCTTCAGTATGAAGTTCTGATATATGTCATTGAAATTCTATCAAAAAGGAATTATTTGCTATCAGTGACATAGCAAGAATGATATCTTTTAAGAGTTTATAAAATTACAAAATCATATTGGCATATTGCATTTAAAATCCGTACACCCCCTGTTGAGGACACACTGTTCGAATATCTGCCCCCCTGGAATTCCATGTCATTTCTTCTCTTAGGCCCTGGAATTCCACAAGTTTTTAATAAATTACCCTTGGGAATCTGCTATGTTTTACATTCCCCTGGATTTCCTTGCTATGTTTTGTCTTACCCCCTGGAATTCCAAGCATTTTAAATCAATTACCCTTGGAAATGTGCCATTTTTTCATCAAAATAAGCAAGGTTTGACTCTCACCCCCTGGAATTTCCAGAGAAAATAAGAATTTTGACCCCACCCACTGGAATTTCCAGCGAAAAAACACGAGATTTGGCCCCCACCCCCTGGAATTTCCAGCGAAAATAAGTGAATTTTGACCCCACCACCTCCCCCTGGAATTTCTAGCAAAAATAAGCAAGTTTTGACTCTCACCCCCTGGAATTTCCAGAGAAAATAAGAGTTTTGACCCCACCCACTGGAATTTCCAGCGAAAAAACACGAGATTTGGCCCCCACCCCCTGGAATTTCCAGCGAAAATAAGTGAATTTTGACCCCACCCCCTGGATTTCCAGCACAAAAAATGGAGGTCAACCCCTGGATTTCCAAGGTCCTCAACAGGGGGTGTACGGATATTAAATGCAATATGCCATTGTACCTCCCATATCTTGATCACAGTAGCACTTGTAGCTGGACTGATAACACCTTCCAACTTTTGAGGAAGCTTTTCAAGCAAAATCTTTTTGTCATTACCCATTAAACTAGTGCAGTCGAATGTGCCGCTACCCTTTCCATCAGCGTTTCTCTTTTCCCATACGGAAAATGACACACCACAACTTGAAATGGCTTGAATAAGATTGTCAAGATGATACGACCGACGATCACGAGGAGCCTTGTTCAAATTTTGCTTGAAATCTCTTTGTAGTGCTTCCTTCACTAAATTATCAATGAGCTTATCTGAAGAAGATTAAATAATAATTACACATTATTCAAAATTAATTATACATTAAGCTAATTATTAGCTTGCACTGCCACATTCTTTCCGGCTTGGGCGACAAATATGTCTCGTACAGTAAATTACCTGTAACTCGCAACATCAAATGGAGTTCATCGAGGACGATATTCTCCACGGGAATATTAAGAAGTGGAGGGCGTTCACAGGAAAACTGTTTCTTCAGGCAGCATGCTTTAATATCCTCCAGTGTTCTTTTAATATCACCAATCAAATAAAAATCTTGTGACTTTGTCATATCGTATCTTGAAAGTCAAAGGAGGAAAAGGTTAGATTGTTTATTTTATATAGTCGTGTACACTGTAGATTAAGGCTCCGTTTACACTATACCGGATTCGCTTGTCACGACATCTTAGTTTGCTGTTTACGAGCAATGTTTACCAACAAAGGTTTACTCATTTGGTAGTTTTTGTACGTCTCTTCGTGTCACTGTCGTTTAAAATTTCATCAGAACTTCACTAGCTGTTAAATTGTACCCGCTACGATAGTAATCCGGTATAGTGTAAACGGGGCCTAAACCATACACTATATATGCATCACCAATTTTGCATATATTTATACCTTAATAATCTGTGGATTTTGCACCAGATACAAGCATGGTCGGAGCATGCTCCCTTCATTCCCAACAACAACAGAAGAAACTATTTATTTAAACAAATCATTGAAGATTAGTATACAAAACAAACATTCTACTGGCATCCCATGCTTACAAGTTTATTTTTTCCAGCTTTATAACACCTTAAATGGTTCCAATTTAAAATTAAACATTGCCCATTAAGATGTGAGGTTTCAGCTCTAATTTAATATCCGGTGTAAGAAAAATATCACCTGGCAGAGCATAGCATGGTACAAGAAAATAGGCCAGCTGGGTAAAGCATTTAGATTACCCAGAACAGAACAATAAAGAGGGGTCACTCATCAAGATGCTTGACTATTTTAATAAATTTAATATGTAACAGAAATGTGAGTGAAGTTTGTCCATAAAAATAATAACTACCGTATTTCCTCTATTCAGCCCCCTGGGTGTTCATTTCTTTTGCCACCTTTTGAGTGGGGGCTTATTGGAAGGGGGGGGGGGGCAAATAGAGGGTAGGGGCTTAATAAATTTTCATCCAAAGTTGGTTCCTTGAACATGGTAAATTACATAACATATTCCACTATATCAATTTTTATTTGTAAAATAGCTAATTCTACATAGAGGGTAGGAGCTAAGTAGAGGGTGGGGGCTAATTTACGTGCTAGCTTTTGGGTTGGGGCTTATCAGAATGCGGGCTAAAAAGAGGCTGGGGCCTAAATAGAGGAAATGCCGTATGCACCTTGTAATCTGAGCCAAGGAAAATATCCACAGGTACTTGATTTTCATTGACTTTAATGAATCCCTCCTCAACTATCTTGTTAACATCACTAAAGATCCTTGCACAAGAAGATTTAAGAATCTCATAAGATTCCTGTCCTTTTATCACAGCAACTGTATGATTCCCTAGAAGGCCAGAAAAAAAAACAAGACATGCGGTCTGTATATGTACGCACTTACATACATACACACATACACACATACATACCATACATGCATACATACCATACATACATACATACATACATAGTATACATGCATAGTATCACATGTATTATATAGGAAAGAAATAACATACCTTTAGATGCCATTGCAGTTCCCCCATCATTCAAAATTGAAAATGAAATTATAATAAACCCGGTTAATCGGGTCATTTTAGCCCCATCCCCGCTAAATTTAATGTTGTATTTCACTGGGATATCCAGGCCATCAAGAGTACACTTTTGCATCTGAAAAATAGATAGACAATGACTATATTTGCTACTGTTTTTAATGATGAAGGTAGTAAAAGCTGATATTTTTACTCATTTTTAATATATAGACCTATAGTTTGTTACCAGAATTTTACGAATAGTAAAATAACAGAGAAAGTCTAACAATTACAAAACATACTATAGAGATATTATATTCAGTATATTATAATAATTATAATAATTTTTAGACATTTTCTTACATGTTTCTTGATCTCACTACTAAGGGCATCGTAGAAGTTAAGTTGGGCCCCTTCAGCCTCTCCTGGTGTGTGTTCTATGTGGGTAATCGAATTCAATGATTCTTTGCATTGTTTGATTAGGTAGGAACGTGGTAATGCCATGCCAGCGGGTATCATAGTTAATTCGTGGTAAGCACCTTCCCCTATGCAGAACCTGTCAACAATTAATAAGATTTCTTTAACCGTGGTCTTTTCTTCTTCCGAGAGGTCCTTATAGCTCTTTCTTTGTGGCACGTTGCAGTATGTCAAGGAATGGTCTGACCCAGATTTGTCAGTGAATGACACTGATTTTAATGATAGTCCGAATGTTTCTGCAAACCACAAGCTTTTCTCTACTGATGTTTTAAGCTCCAACAGTTTCCGATTTTGTTGCCTTCTCCCAACCTCTAAGATTTCTTTCCCTGAATTTTTAAACTCAACAGAAAATCTAGCTTTATCAAGATAACCCGACAGTTCCTTATTTTGCTCGAAAACTAACTCATAGTCTTCCTGTTTACTGTCCAGTTTTTGTTCAGTTGCTGTCTTGCTAAATTTTAAATCTTCAATTGCTGCCCACAGCTCTTCACATCTTTCTTTTAGTTTTCGATTTTCTTCTGATAATGATTTGACATATTCGTTGTTTTCTGTTAGTAGCTGTTGAGTCTCAGCTGCATTAATTACTTCATGTTTGAAAACAGTAATATGCTTAACTTTAGCAAGATACTCAGTCCTTAAACGTCCATTAAGCGATCGACATTTATTTTTTGCATCCCCACATCTTTTTCTAAGTATGTTATTAATCCTTTCGCTTTCGTGCAGTTGAACTCCATGCTTTGATATAAACGCATTTAGGATTTCTACAAACGAATACTTGCTCAATGATCCATTTTGTGTTAAATCGTACCAACTTCGTAAATGCTCATTCGAGATGTCAATCGTAAGCGCTATATCATGGGTGTTCACAGAATCTTTTTTTGCAAAGCTAAGACATAAGTCAGAGGAAAGTGAAATTGTTTTCACAAATTTATTTAAATCGAATTTATCTAGAATGTCAGACTGTTCAGACATTTATTTGCATAACTGCATATTCATGTTCAAATTTTGGCGCTGCAAGGCGCGAAGCGAACGACTGGATATGGGTGGTAAATGGCTTTAGCAGAGGTTAAATGTGGTTAAATGACGCATTTTGCCCACAATTAACAACCTTTATCCGCATTTAACCTCACTGTAAAGAAAGCTTGGTCTCTAAGCTTCTTGTTGATACTAGACATGGCCGATCTTTTGCAAAAAATCAATGTCAGTTTAACAATATTTACGGGCGTTTGGTACGTATTTTGTTTATTACAAACCATGGATTTTCATGTTTTTTACTGCTAAAATGTACGGTGTTAGAAAATTTATATCACCTTGTAAATTTAACGAGAAATACTTCATCATTTGTTGTTTACGACAGGAGGTTGGCAAATATGACATGAAGAAAGGCGACGATGACAATTCGGAATAAAGGGTTCATCTTGGGGCGATTTGGGACTAGAACTATATAAATATTAGCATTCAAGTCGACACAGAATCCGAATAAAAATGTACGCACTTAACGGTATGTAATGGCTTTGCTTTTTACTACGTTTGATTACCGATGATTTTTTTGTACCGCTCATACGTTGGCAAACCGTTTGTTTGTAATTTAAAACGCTCAAGTTTCGAAAAATTCGCTTTCCCTATATAAAATGAGTAGCATGCCAGCCATATTTATTTACTGAGCTACGAGCATGCTCAGTTGCAACGTCTCAAATTTCTGGCGATGGTTAGTAGCAAATATTTCTGTGTTATAGCGTTGTAATATAGCTAATAAAATGTGTATTCAAAACAGAAAATGCACAATGGTCTGGTATTTCTTTTAATTTGGCATACCTCTTCCAAACTACTGTAGTCTAGTAATTCCTCTCAGTTTCAATTGTGCAAAAAAAGGGAATTTACATTTTTAATTTCAGACTCCATTGCATATGAGAAAATGCATGCTGCACTCACAAACAAGAGACTTATGAATGGAATCAAGCAGGCATCTCCTTTTGGCCAGACCAGTTGTCTGGAAGGTTTCCACTCGGTACTAAACCAGTTTTCTCCAAAAATGATTGGGTACAGTTATCCAGGCATGTTTTGCAGGTAAGAAACAGTTTGGTAGTTATTTATAATATCAAGGCAGGTTGACACATTCAACTCTTTTCTGATTATTTTAGGCATGCACTTGCTGTTATTCATTTCAACAACAACTTAAACAGGAAAAAACGAATGAAGAATGGTGTTGAGCAAGTGCATGTTGTGTATCCAAAATTTAAAAATGGAGAGGCTGTAGTTAGAAATGTCAAAGTGCAGCAAAATTTTGGTATGTAGCCATGGGTAGTTATGATGATGACACAAAACTAATTTCCTTGTCAAACCTCAACCCTATTAGTCATATCTTGACAGGATTACAAATAGTGAGGTGGGGGCAATTGGGCATATGGATTATGGACAGTCTCCCCATTTGTCTTTTAGCCTTTGTATAATAGTTGCATAACTGTATTATTATATTTCTTAAAGATTATGTTGATGAAATATATGACACTATAGTTGACGCAATTTTGGGCAAGAAGCTAGAAAAGGAAATTAAAGAATTAAAAGATGAAACACCACCACCAATGAACAGGATGCTCGAAAAGCAGCCGCGTAGTGATGCCATCCGCAAGAAAACACAAAGAGAAAGCATGCCAATTGTTGATGTGCCACCGAAAAATCCTGGTAGGTTGCATGTGTCCTTATATGATAGTAGATAAGTCATAATCATGCCATATAAGGAACTTTTTAATTGGGTCTAATGATTTTTAATTGTAGAGTAAAGAACAAAATGTTCATTATTTTCAAACAATCCTGAGGAGACAACAAGAAGCAAGCCAAAGTGTAAAGCTTGCAAACAACCAATGAAAGGTCACAAAAATGTCAAGGATTGTCCTAAAAACCAAAATAAGTGACTTGAAAAATAGAACTAAATGTTGTGTTGGTGTGTCCAAATAATTAATACTGGTACTAAATACTTGACAAAAGGTCTCTGGACTTCTTAAATTGTTAATAGACCTTATGCATAATGATGTCACAAGGCTCGATGCCCACGAGGAATGCTTGTCTAGCTTACCAGCATCACCAGGAAAAATCTTCGATCTCGAATCTTGAATTTTCTCGGGCGATGACTGCTAAGACTAGCATTAGGCCATTCCATTTAATATAGACCCCCCCTATTGAGGGGTCTGGATAACCTATGGGGGGGGGGGTTACCATAAATTTTCCTAGAGGGTAGCTTGAGAGATTTTTTTAAAAAAATAGCAAAAATTAGGTGTTTTAGTGATATTCCAGGGGGCAAAAACGATATCCTAAAGGGGGTATAAAGATATCCATGGGGTAACTTCCAAAAATCGTATCCAAGGCGGTTCTAAAAATTTTAAAATCCTAAGGGGATTAGGAAGGTACCCCTCAATAGGGGGGAGGGGGGTGCCTATATTAAATGGGCATCAAGCCTTGTGATGTCATTATGCATATAAAGGTCTGTTGGCATAAATGAACACTGCATGGTTACAGATGTGACCTTTTAACATTTTGAAATTAAATCATTAACATATTTTGCCTATATACACAAGTCAGTTTTAGTTTTCCTCCAGATCCTCGTATCCTGTAAAGTCGTCATCTTTTTCACTAAAAGCTGTACGAATGGCATGGTAAGCACAAGCTGGTAGTGGTATTCGCTTTTCTTTCAAACGGCCATGAACAAGCCTTGTAAATTGTCTGTATGCCACCACACGAAGAAACCTAAAAACAGGGCAATATTTTAGGGCAGATGTTTACTCTGTGAGCATATTTTTATCATGATACAATAATAACTTCAGTACATTCTCCAGGATACATTTCGAGATTACATTATTTTAGTGAAAACCTACCTTTCCTTTGAATCAACTTGACGATATTTCTGTCCACCGCGTGTTTTAAAATTATCTGAAGCGAGTTCCAGAGACCACCTGTTGATGCAAATAGCGACAAAACCAGGATGGTTTATAATGCACATTGTGGCATCTTTGTCTGCTGTAACAAGATTCATTCCATCGACACACTTTTGTATTTCAGTGCAACAGCGACATTCTTTTGCTTCTACTAGATTTTGGATATCACAGTTACCACAATTGCACCTACAAAAGGAATGAGTCAGCTGTTTATATATTGATAATACATGGTAATACAGCATATAAATATATACAATTACAATATGGCGGCCACTGTCGAACTAGAAAATTGCTTGATTATCTTACCAAGAAACCACTGAGGTTTGTCCATTTAAACGAAGGCTTAATTCTTCTATTTCCCTAGTATACTCTTCTTGTCTTTGAATATACTCTTCGACCCACGAATCATCAGCAAGAGGTTCGTCTGTGTAAGCTAATTCATCCGTATTGTCAAGAAATTCGTCCTCGGCGGCATAGGAAAGGTGACCCTCATATCGATCTTTTGAAGTAGTTTCGCACGTTTCGTCTTCAATATCATATTCAGGACAACCGAAAGAGTTCTCGTCAGCATTATACGACGATTCTGAGCTAGACATAGCGTTTTAACTTCCAAATAACTGCGTTTTTATCGGTCGCAACGCAAAAAGACAATATATTTTATAGTAATTAGCAAAACCCCGGTTCCTGAGTCCCAGTCCCTCGAGCACACGGATTTTTTTTAAAAAAGCCATGTTTGGCGCCCCATATCTCAGAACATATTGAACTAAATCAAAAAAGGTTGAAGAACCTATTAACTAACTTTTTGTGCTCTTTCCAAATCCGTAAAGATCCCATGAGTGATATAGGCACTTTAACAATTTTGAATTGATACTGATTTCAAATGATTAAAGCCATGTAATAATTATCCCATGCAACTGTTAGGAAGGGCGAAATTTTGAACGGAGGACGAAAATCCTAAAGAAAAGGTGAAGTTTCCTAAAGGGGGGCGAAATTCCTAGGATTTTCGCCCCCCTGGGGGGGGCGATATTCCTAGGAATTTCGCCCCCCGGGGGGCGAAAATGTAGGGGGGGCGAAAATCCTGGGACACCGGTTCATCACATCGATAAATAAACACTAAGTATATGAACTAAACATACAGATATTACTACTTTTATGTACTGAAAATTTCGGGTGAAACACTTAAAAGACACATATTTGAGTAGCCTGCTCGCATCATTGAAGAAAATTTTGTTGAACAACCCCCTCATTTTACAAACCAACTTGAATACTTAATGAGCCCCCTGGAATGCCGAAATCTCCACCGAGTGAAAATCGCTATTCGACTATACATAACTCGGCCGCGGGGACTGGACACAAAAAAGCAAGAACGTCATGTAACGTTAAGAATAGTGTGCTGCCGAGCTGAGGCTCGGCAGCAATTATAAAGACCAATTTAGCGGAGACTCTTGTGTTCAGAAAGATGCAATCATCTTTTGCTGACAGGTTAAGAAAATGTAGTCATCTTTGCTTAATCAGTTGAACCTAAATTTTTATAATGAAAACACATTATGTATGCCGGTGTCCCAGGATTTTCGCCCCCCCTACACTTTCGCCCCCCGGGGGGCGAAATTCCTAGGAATATCGCCCCCCCCAGGGGGGCGAAAATCCTAGGAATTTCGCCCCCTTTAGGAAATTCGCCCCCCTTTACAAACTTCACCTTTTCTTTAGGATTTTCGTCCTCCGTTCAATATTTCGCCCTTCCTAACAGTTGCATGGGATAATTATTACATGGCTTTAATCATTTGAAATCAATATCAATTCAAAATTGTTAAGACAGAGCTTGAAATAACAACCGATCACCGATCGGCAAGGAATTGCTTTAATATGATCGGCGGAAAAGCAAGGTTTCGGTTTCCAACCTGAAAAAAGCAGGGAAAGTCATGACTGCCGATCACCATGATCGTTAACTTTGGGAACGTTTATTATTTCAAGCCCTGCATGTAAGAATACAAATTTACAATTACATGTATCGAAAGGGCTTACACAGTTACAGTAGATCAATAGGACTTATGACGCTTCACAGCACACCATGCATATTTTGCATTTCAGTGTTAATCCTTAAACTCATTGTTAAAAAGTAATCACCGTGGTGGTTATTGTAATTATTGGTATTGTTTTGCATCCACGTTTTGTCGTTATTGGAAAATGTGTGGCTTATAAGTTGTCACTATTTTTTACTTGCATTATTTCAATATAGTTTGTAAATCTCAGAAGCGAAGGGTAAAACTTGCCAATAGGCAATACTCCAATAATATACGTTTCAAAAAAGACGAATAAGCTTTTAGTTTTGCAGAGTTACATTCTCAAATGTTTAATAAAGTCAAAGTATCATGAAATTATTTGAATAAACCACACCACATATATAATGCAATTTTCTTTGCGGAAGTCAAGAATCAAGATTACATCACTATTAGAATCAAGATTACATCACTGACACGGAAAGTTGACGATTCAACGGACAATAGTCAATACGCTTCCCAACACATTCCATAGATTTTTTATTAATCCTATAGTTTATTGTTAGCAAGTGATTACTGTGGCGGCTATTGTTAACACTGGTATTGATAAAATTTGCAAGCGATTGTTTTTATAATATGTTATGTGAATGTAACTGTCAGAAGAATACGACAACATGATTTTATGCGATCTCTGTGGGCAATGGTTCCACTTTAGATGTGTAGAATATGACACTAGTCTAAGTACCTCAAATGAGTGGTTATGCAGACTGCAGTGTGCACACTACCAGCTGCTAAGAAGCCTAAAATGTGTATGTAATTTTGTCTCTTTGTAATAAATAAATAAATAAATCACACAATAAACCTTTTCAACTTGCAATCGTTTTGTTTTTAGATCAAAAATTCAAAATTTATATGGGAGGGCGAAATTCCTAAAGGGGGGCGATATTCCTAGGAGATTTGCCCCCCTGGGGGGCGATATTCCTAGGAGATTCGCCCCGGGGGGGCGAATATCCTAGGAATATCGCCCCCTTTTGAGAGGGGGGGGCGAATCTCCTGGGGGGGCGAATCTCCTGTGTCCCAGGATTTTCGCCCCCCCTACATTTTCGCCCCCCGGGGGGCGAAATTCCTAGGAATATCGCCCCCCCCAGGGGGGCGAAAATCCTAGGAATTTCGCCCCCCTTTAGGAAATTCGCCCCCCTTTAGAAACTTCACCTTTTCTTTAGGATTTTTGTTCAAAAGTTTGCCCTTCCTAACAGTTGCATGGGGTAATTGTTACATGGCTTCATTTGAAATCAGTATCAATTCAAAATTGTTAAGACAGAGCTTGAAATAACAACCGATCACCGATCAATGATCGGCAAGGAATTGCTTATGATCGGCGGAAAAGCATGGTTTCGGTTTCCAACCTGAAAAAGCAGGGAAAGTCATGACTGCCGATCACCATGATCGGGAACTTTGGGAACGTTATTTCAAGCCCTACATATAAGAATACAAATTTACAAATACATGTATCGAAAGGGCTTACACAGTTACAGTAGATCAATACTCAATAGGACTTATGACGCTTCACCGCACACCATGCATATTTTGCATTTTCAGTGTTAATCCTTAAACTCATTGTTAAAAAGTAATCACGGTGGTGGTTATTGTAATTATTGGTATTGTTTTGCATCCGCGTTTTGTCGTTATTGGAAAATGTGTGGCTTATATAATAAGCTGTCACTATTTTTTACTTGCGTTATTTCAATATAGTTTGTAAATCTCAGAAGCGAAGGGTAGAACTTGCCAATAGGCAATACTCCAATAATATACGTTTCAAAAAAGACAAAAAAGCTTTTAGTTTTGCAGAGTTACATTCTCAAATGTTTAAGGCACTAATAAAATCAAAATATCATGAAATTATTTGAATAAACCACACCACATATATAATGCAATTTTTTGCGGAAGTCAAGAATCAAGATCACATCACTAACACTGACATGGAAAGTTGATGATTCAACGGACAATAGTCAATACGCTTCCCAACACATTCCATAGATTTTTTATTAATCCTATAGTTTATTGTTAGCAAGTGATTACTGTGGCGGCTATTGTATGTAATTTTGTCTCCTTGCAATAAATAAATCACGCAATGAATCTTTTCAACTTGCAATCGTTTTGTTTTTAGATCAAAAATTCAAAATTAATATGGGGGGGGCGAAATTCCTAAAGGGGGGCGATATTCCTAGGAGATTCGCCCCCCTGGGGGGCGATATTCCTAGGAGATTCGCCCCGGGAGGGCGAATATCCTAGGAATATCGCCCCCCTTTTGAGAGGGGGGGCGAATCTCCTGGGGGGGGCGAATCTCCTGTGACACCGGCATAGTACATAACATGGACTGAACCCATAGACTGGACCCAAAATTGTACTCAAATTAAATTGGACTCAAAATTTTAGCCAAAATTTTGGCCAAAAATCCATTATTTTTTCGAAGAAAAACAACCCTCAGCAGAATATTGCGCTTTGATTTAATTTGTATAGGCAAGACACTTCACGTTCCATCACTTTTCCTTGACCTATCTAGCTATTTGGCCCTATTTGTCTTCCAAAATTCTATATTCGATTTTCTAAACGTTATCTAGGGTATCTCGTAAATAATAAACCTTTGTGAAATATCTTTGCGCAATGTTCACAAATACATCACATCGATATAAATCATTCCATCAATATATACCGGGTGTCCCAAAAAAAAGTACTCCTGTTTGATTCGTAATAACTTCTAAACAAATAAAGCTTTTAAAGAGAAATAACTTGCATCAAGTAGAGGAAGGATTAACTTAGATTTTGATATATTACAGTTGTATTTCACTTAAACTTCACGGAGATATTAATGTTTAAAATCGGGAGCATATTTCTCGATGTGTCTGAAACATGCAAAAAACGGCGTATCAAATATTAATCAAGATTTGCCCGACTGAAACATGCACTATTACCAGTAAGTAAATGACACTTGACAAATTGTTTATTATGAAACAAAGTATTATTATATGTACAAAATACAAGCAAGATTTATTCGTCCGAAATTCGCGTGTGTTCCTAGCACGTTTCCTTATTTCATGAGACCGCTGCATCGCGAAGGATCGTCATCGATCGTTCGTAGTTCTGAATTAGGGCATACTGTCACAATGGAATTGTGAAGCTCTTCTAACT